TCACGACATGGCGGCGGCGGCGGCAACAATACTACAGCGAGAATCAAAGTTACGCCGCCTTTCTTTGCGTTAACATTTGGGCGGTGTTATGCAAATCTTCCCAGATCGTGACATAGACATGTGGGGGCATGTTTAAACGAGGCGTTTTAGGAGAACGTGGACGAGTCTTAACTTTTAAATAGAATATCTCTTTGGGTTTGAGACTTTAGTCTTTGCAACTTTAGGGATCTTATCTATTCACGAACAGCTTGTAACACTCCAAAGAGAAAGGAAAACTTGAAATCGCATCATATGACCCCATTAATGTTTTTGAAAGAAGTATCTTATGCTAGCTAATTTAACAAGGCTATATTTATTTGATATTTGATAGTATTTTGAAATATTACAATGTAAAATAACTGTTTTATATTTATTATATGTAAAATGTCATTTATTCCTCTAATGCAAAGCTGAATTTTCAGCAACCATTACTACAGTCTTCAGTGTCACATGATTTTTTTAGGAATTATTCTAAAATGCTGATTTGCTGTTCAAGAAACATTTTTTATTATTAGCAATGTTGAAGTATCAGTGTCAGTGTTGGGCTGATTATTTTTGTGGAAACCATACATTTTTTAGAAAGTTAAAAATAAGATAATTAAAAAAAAAAAAACACTTTCGATCTGTTGAATGCCTCCTTCCTGAATAACATCTTAAATCTTACTGACCCCAAAATTTGGATGGTAGTTTACATACTTAAAATCCACGTTCTCTTTTTCTAGCAAACAGATCTGAAAAACAGGAAAAAATATTTATCCTGCACTACACTGATTTGTGTCCAATCAGACACATCCACATCTCTTTTGGACTGTGTGGTTTTGACCTTGGCTGCCTCAGAGGCCTACAACAGGTTAAATTAGTTATCCACAAACCAACAAAAGAGCATTTTAAAACAGTTGCTCCCTGAATGCCATTAATCACCAAGACAGTCATTTTATAATCTGGGTTTTCCATGTGTTGCAGTCAGAAACAGAAAACCACACATTAGCATGGCCAGGTGCTCCATTAGCATTCTAACCCTGACAAGTTTAGCTGTCTGTCCAGCATCTCGCAACCTTCATTTCCAATCACCCCGACTGTCTGAGGACCCCAGGGGCGTGAGGGGAGGAAAACAGACAGAGATGTGATGAGTGTGGACAGCAGTGAATTACCGTGTGCTGGTCTTTATTTTCTAGTTAACCTGCTTATAAGGATGATTGATGATGCCACTGGATGGATTTCAGCATGAAGTCTTAAACAGACCCTGGATATGTGATAGTTTTATTGATCATTTTCATAATTACTCACTAGATACTTCATATTGTCAAGACTTTTAAAAAATACTTTTTTTTTGGACAAACAGGTAATCTTGCCCCAAACTCCCAGCACTGGATGAGACAGGAGTTGAAATTTTAGAAAGCCACAGTTAGCCACATATAATATTTCATGAATGAAAACATAAAATATCATGTTCAGCATTAAGAATAAGAAGTGCTCACCTCATTTTTAATGCTAAGCGCTGTTTACATGTGTAGAAATATGTGGCGTGTTATTAGACACATTCCCTGGAGAGTTTCTGTTGTGACAGTAGCAGAGATAAATCAGAGTGCTAATAGTCTGCCTAATTTCGTAATTATTTCGCAATTAACGTAGTAAGCATCAGGCAAATATAATCTTACTCTTTTCTTTTAACCTTTTGATGACACTGGAGAGACAGTGGCATGCTATGAAAATAAACACACAAACACACCAGCGTGGGGAGAATAATTTTGTTATATACGTGATTTTCTAGAATAGACAACGCAGGGTTGAATGGTCTAGATTGCATCATTAGGAATAAGAAACCTATTTAAAAACACATGTTAAAATCTAAGAGTCAGTGTCACTCTCATCTCATTCTTGTCTCATTAGCTGTAGTTTGTCTTGAGGTAATCGTGTTCCAATTAATTGCTGCATCCCAAAATACACACAAGTGTACCCAAGAGGGGCTGACGTTTGACTGGCATGAGCCCTAGAGCAGAGCCAAACCAGGCAACACCATGAACAAGTGTGAGAAGTGTTACTTCCAACTGCTAAAGAAACAGAGAACCACAGAGAGCTATGAATCACTGCCTCTGAACACGAATGACTGCAAGATTTGTCTCTGATTAAAAAAAAGGATTACATTTATTTCATGAATTAAAATAATCTTGTTTTTCACAATTAATCATATTGTTTATCAATATTTGCTGACGGAAACCCCCACATGAAGATAATTTAAGACAGCATTGAATAGATTGTACAAAAAAGTGTATTTTAGATGTCAATTTATTTCCATAAGACTAAACTGACTATAAAGATAAACTAAGTAGATTTAGGGGTTGTTCACACAGGATTCTGTCTGTAGTGTTTTTTAATGTTGGTCTATGTACAATAAATATGTGCTAAATAAAACAACTGTTGGATTTTGTTGTTTGTTTGGTGTTTTGTAGAGAAGATGATGAACTGGCCTTCAGTGTGGTTCAGCAAGACCCATTTCTTGTAGTTGTTAATTTCATTTTTTAATACATTTTTTTTAAGAACAATTAATTGTTTTGTTTTGTTTTTGATGATCTGGAGAAATGCTGTCAACTCAGCTGATACTTGTTGATAACAGTTGACAATTGATTTGTTTTTGTTGCTTTTTGTTTTGTTTTGTTGATCTGGAGAAAGATTGACAGTTGTTGACAATTGTTTTGTTTTGTTTTGATGATCTGTATAAATGCTGTCAACTACTCTGTTCATATAACTCTTGTTTATAATGTTATAAAATATTTATATTTTAAGAGTGCACTTTTTGTAAATGCACTTCATTTGAACTTTCTAAACATTTAATAATCCTGAAAATAATTACAGTTTCCAAAGAATAAATAAGCAATTTTGATGTTTGCATGGTGTTTTGTTGGTGAGAGTTACTTTACAAACTGACAGAGAGACTCATCCCTGCCAGGTTTGTAAAGTAACTCACAACAACAACAACAAAAATTTTGGAATTACATGAATGTTTACCTAGACTGTTTTGCACATGCACATTACAAGCAGACTACACCATGGATTTAAAGGGAAGCAAACTCAACCACCTGCAGTGATGGAGTTTGTGCACAGCATTCATCTATTGCAAACATGCAATGAGACAATTGAAATGAGCAGAATGTGAAAACAGCCTACCGTGAGGCCCATGTGTGCTTGTGTAATAGTCGAGAGACAAAATAAAGCACCGCCCCTTCACTTTGAAGCCCACACTGCATGCAGACCATATATTTATTTAATTCAGTTGAAGCCTTTTTCCAGTTTAATAATCACACAAGGCCATATTGTGATTCAGATTTTAATTAACAGTTCAACCCTAGTTCAAATGATTAGCAAGGACATGTTGAAAAATGTGAGTTTGAGCAGAACGTTAAACTTACACATACATCATTTGGTTCTTATTTAGCTTTTTTGTACAGTTTCCTGTCTATTCTGGTAATGAATATATGTACAATAATGCACATTACACTCCTATGGGGTTTTGTAATTACATCTGCAGCTTTCTGAAGAAAATGGTGACTGGCTGCTATGTAATTGGATAAAATATGATAGTTGTGCGTGCATATGAATCAAAATCTTGAAGTATATTAGTTACAATGGTCATTATTGGCTTGCTGGTTCTATATAGTGAGATATTAATTACATACTTTAATATGATGCCAACATATCCTGTGTTAACTCTCCTCTCCCTCTCTCTTTCACAAATATGATTCCCCTTCTTTTCATCTCTCTTTTAGGATCACATTTTGTCATCTTCCGTTTCAAAGTAAATGGCTTTACGTGGGGACAGAACGTGGAAATACACACATAGTGAACATCGAATCCTTCATTTTGTCTGGATATGTCATCATGTGGAACAAGGCCATAGAACTGTGAGTATAAGTGTAAATCTAAAATTAATTTTATTTTAATATCAAAGTCAATGCAGTTAACATGACTAATAAATAGCTAATTAATACAATGACAGAGCACCCACGCAATCAAATGATACGTGTATCTAATAAAGATGATTATGTGCTACCAAGTCATCTGGAATATGAAACAATTATAAATGCAGTTATAAATGTAAGTTTATATTTACATGGAGGAGTATTAGAGGTTTAGCACAGTCATAGTCCTAAAGGAATAATTTACCCCAAAATAAGAATTCTGTCATCATTTACTCACGTTGATAAAAACCTGTCTTCTGTGGAACACCAAAGATAAATTGTACAATTTCTATAGTACTCATTTTCATAATAGCAAAATAATAAATAAATATAAAATAAAACAAAAAAAATGTGAATACAATGGGAAAATGCATTAACCATCTATTGATTTCTGTTTATTTTTAAACTTGTTAATTGAATTATGCCTTCCAGAGTTCATGCATATATTTACATTAGATTTATGCATTTGGGAGCATTTAAAAAAAAATCCAAAACAACTTACATTGCATTCAAGGTACACATTTTTCACTTCTTGCTTTCCCTGGGAATTGAACCTATGACCTTAGTGTGGCTAGCACCATGCTCTACTGTTTAAGCGGATAGATTTTTTTTTTTAATTTTACATTTATGCATTTAGCAATTCGTCAAAGAGCCAAAAGTATGCATTTTGTGCAATGCTAGGTTTATTAGGCAACTAGATTAGGAAACTAGCTTGTATTTGATTTTATATTATTTTTTGAGTAAATGAGGGTAAATAATGACAATTTCAATTTTGTGAACTATTCCTTTTAAAATAACTTTTATTGGGTTCTTGAGATTGAGGCAGTATGCCTCTTAAAAAAAAAAATAATAATTTCTCCATGTTTCAGTACATCAGAAGTCCTTCAGATCATTGTACAGGTTCTAAGTATCATTGCTATGGAAGAGTGAAGTCTAGGTTCTTTGAAGCACCAGTTCATGTTTTCCAAAGAACCACAGAAGTGCCTCATTTTTTCATTTCTTATTTTGAGAGTCACAATGAAATCATCACCAAACTGATTGTCACTCTAAAGACTTTGATCTGATGCCTGTAACTTAAACACGTCACAAAATCCACAACGACAATAAATGCTAACCACATCCTGGCTGAAGAATAAATAAGTTATCAGGTTTCAACATTTCAAACCCCAGAAGATACGTTTTATCTATCTGTCTACAGATACACTTTTAGACACACTGAAACACACAGACAACCATTGGTTTGCACACATCTATGACACTTTTCATGAATAAATGTGTAAATCAACACCAACACCTCACTCCCATGAGTGATAATCTGACAAGCAAATAGCTTCTGCATGTCAATCAAGTCTCCTTCTACACAAGAGGCTCTTGGAGGCATCCCCACTCACAGACATTAACGTTAGTAGTGAGTAACCGTAGATGCATTTCTGAAGGACATGTAGATCTCCTGTTGCCTACTTGTGACCCACTACAAATCCTTTACCCACAATCCCCTCACCTTCTCAAGTAGCTCAGTGGCACATCGAGTGTGTGCTAGTATATCTGTATTTTTCAAATGAGAGAACTTGATCCTAGCGTTTGATTATTCTGAAGGACTATGTAAAGGTGCTTGATGGTAAATGCACCAATTTCTTGCTTTTATTGAAGTTTTTATATACTTATGCTCAGAAGTGGTTTAATCGTATGAATTAGCACATGTTGCTGCAGTTAAATAAAGGGACTGTTCTGGGTATTGTGAATAGGGCTGTCACGATTAGGGGTGTCCCCGACTAAGGATTTACATAGTCGAATCAGATTCGACTGAATCAGACTATAGTCGACTGATAGTCGAATCGGGGGTGGGAACCAGGTAGTCAACAAGTGGGTAAGACAACTTTTATTTCCCTTCGCACACAGAAACAACTCGATAAACGATTCCTCATATGAAAATGTATAAAAACATTTTGAATATGAAGAGTTCAGATGCAAAAGCCTCTAAGTGCCATCTGAAATTTTCTTCTAAAATTAGCATTTTTATCAGGCTCCTATGTTTAGGTTCAGTAATTTTACTTTAATGGCAATGTATATGTCCTTTTCTATGCCATTAAAGTGAAATAAATGAACATAAATATAGGAGCCTGATAAAAATGCAAAGTTTAGATGAAAATTTCAGATGGCACTTAGAGGCTTTTGCATCTGAACTCTTCATATCCAAAATGTTTTTATACATTTTCATTGCCTGTGCGAGCACGCTCTTAAGTACAGAGCAACATCGTTGCAACGACAACGATAAAAAAAATAATTTACAGAATTAAATTAGAACAGAATATACCCTTCTTATAAAAAAAAACAAAATAAGTCAGAATCAACAACCTAGTTAGTCATGCAGTTAACACGCTTCTAATTCAGTTTTAATGGCCGCAGATGAGGCATTAAGTGCATGGCACTGCGACCAACTTAACATTTTACAAAGTTTAATGTAGCAATGTGGCCGCTAGTTTTTCTAGATGTTTTAATCGTGTAATAGATTTGAACAAAGAAATCAAGTGCTATGCACATGTATTGGCCATGACTTGATTGCAAACACAAATACAAAAATTAGACGAGTAAAGAAAACGCGTTACTTATTAAAAGAATCACCCCTTTATTTAAATATATGAACACTGGAAACCGCTGTTAACAGGTTAATGTAATGTTTCCCATTCCATGACTAGTAAAATAATGGCAACTTACTGTTTGAACATGGTTCTTCTCGGAGTAGCGCGGCCGCATGCTGCGTCTTCTTCTTGATTGACAGGTGTCAGCGTTAAGGTGCAATACTGCCACCTGGGAGGTCAACCAGGTACTGGCGCTGGAGTAGGTTATTTGCGTGTCCTGTTATCATAAGTGTCCTGGGCCCGTATTCACAAAACATTTTATCTTACCACTAAGAGTTCTCCTAAATAGCAGTAAAAGTTTTTAGCAAAGAGTTTTCTCTTAAAACCTATTCACAAAGCTGCTGGACAAACTTTTACTAAGGAATAGAGAGAAGTCTTAAGCTAAGAGTAAGGGTGGGGTTGACCTCGTTGCTATGGATGATGTCAGCATGCTTACTAACTATGCACACAGTGATTGGCTGATAGTCTCTGTCAGAGATTTATTCATGGAAATATTTTAGAGTAAAGATAAATTTTGAAAAATAAAAATGTTGCCACATTCAAATAAAGATTTTAAAATGCAGGCTAAGTGTCACCAATTAAACAAGTATGTGTTCAGCTAATTGTCACCCTCTTACATATATGCTTCTCATAATTAGTGAATATAAACAGCCTTTTAATAAACAGAGTAGAATAATCATGGCTGATAATAAGACAGCCGACAGCTCTTGCCGAGCTGGTTAATGAAAACAAGGACATAATCAAAGGAAAATTTGGAGTTGGGATAAAAAATGTAGGAGTCCTAAATTTAGGATTGACGCGCCCATTATTTTTAAGATTTTCTCCTAAATTGGCGAGTTACGAGCTACTTTTAGCCTTAATATGTTTTGTGAATACGGGCCCTGTTCATTTTAAATATTGTGGTTATCGCCAATACCGGTATATCGTCACACCCTAAATTAACACAATGGAGATTTTTCATGATTTGAATATCACGGTTATCGTCAATACCGGTATATCGCAACACCCCTAATGTGAATATGGTGAATATGATTAACAGGCTTTGTTAGTGTGGGAAATTTACCATAATCATGTACTATATTCATATGATTTTTACTGGACATGATTCTCCAATGCAGAATATGTTAATGGTGCAGAGTGGGGTGTGGGGGACAGTGTTGCATGTTTTTGCCTGGAGCAATGAGTGTTTGTGTGTGTGTGTGTGTGTGTGTGTTTAAAGCGTTGGTGTTTTCTCTCGTTCCAAGATCAGTGTAATATTGCTCCATGACAAGCATATCACGTCATCATCCCATAATACAATAGCAGTCAGAAATGAAACTGATGGAATTTAATATGATATTGTGAAAGATTGTTATTTATTTTTTATTTTCTTACTATTAGCAGTAAGAACAAAAGTATGAAGTTTGTGAAATATGAAACAATCAAAATTATACATTTTTATTTTAAACTTTTTTATTTATTTACATTTTCTTAATATTAGCAGTCAGAGTGAATCATGAAATTTGATAAATATTAAAGATACGTTAAAAAATACATGTTTTACTTTTATTCATTTATACATTCATTCATTTTCTTACTATCAGCAGTCAAAGTGAAAGACTTAAGAAATTTGTGAAACTTTATGAGTTTCATTTTTAAAATTTTCTCAAATAAATTATTGTAATATGTTATTAATATTTCCCTTTCCTCTCATGTATAGTCTATTCCAAAATTCCTGCTACTTTTGAAATATTAACATCATACTAATGCACTGTGCACAACCTTGAGGAGTAGGAAATTGAAAACACAGAGTGGAATTGATTGAAGTGGACTGATTAGAGAATACTTTGAGCTGGGAAATTGCTGCTGCTCTACTGCACTCACACTCTTCATAGAATACTGTGAGGCTACCATGGTACATGACCAAAAAACATGGTATTACTATGGAACATTTTGATATTTGGTACTTTACTTAGTGCAAAAATATATATTTGAAGGGTTAGTTCACCCAAAAATGAAAATTAGCCCATAAATTACTCACCCTCAAGTCATCCTAGGTGTATATGTCTTTCTTCTTTCAGACGAATCCAGTCGGAGTTATATTAAAAATTGTCTTTGATCTTTCAAGCTGTTTAATGCCACTCAGCAGGTGTTGCATGCATCAGTCCAAAAGAAGTTAAATAAAAAGCGTCCATCCATAAAAAAAGTGTCTCACACGGCTCCGGGGTGTGAACAAAGGCCTCTAGCTAATCGATGCGTTTTTGTAAGAAAAATATCCATATTCAAAATGTAATAATCACTTTAATGTAGCTTGCGTCAACAGTT